ACTTATGTTATATCTATTATAATCTCTGTTATTTCATTATCATCTAAAAAATCATTTTGAAATCCTGAATATCTGTAAACATGTAAAAACCATGCCATTCTTTCCTCTACTTTAATTTTTGAAAACATATTTTTCATAAAAATATGCCTTTTATGTTAACATGTAATGACCTTATTTTTATTATATAAAACGAATGAATAAATAACTATTTTGAAATTCATTTTCTTTCTTTCTTTCTTTTTTTTTTTGGTGAAGAAGCTTACTGCTGAGCTAACATCTGTGCCAATCTTCCTCTATTATTTCTATGTAGGATGCTGCCACAGCATGGCTTGAAGGGCAGTGTGTAGGGCTATGCCCAGGATTTGAACCTGCGAACCCTGGGCCGCCAAAGTGGAGCTCATGAACTTAACCACTGTGCCACCTGGCCAGTCCCTTGTTTTAATTCTTAACACGGTAAATATCAATAGATATAGCCACATAAACAAAAGACAATATTAAGAAACCTAGGATCAAAGGGTGTGGGAATTGCTCACCCAGAAAGATGTGTTACAAATGGAAAAAAAAAAGATTCAATTAGATGTGTGCAATAAAAAAGGATTCCGCATGTGGACTTGTTTGCAAATATTTTTTAAATTCTCGCCTTTTTTTTTTTTTAATGAAAACTAATTAACAGATGTACATAGCCTTTTACCCAGCAATCCCACTGCAGACAATTTCTTCTAGTCATACTTGCACAGGTAGGAAACGCCATTTGTAAAACATTACTCATCGCAGCATTGTACATAATGGCAAAATACTAGAAACAACCCACATCAGGGAGAGGGAGGCAACGTACACTGGCTGAACAATTATTGTACGTCCATATTCCGGAATGATATGCAGCTACAATAAACGAATGATAACAAGAACACAATGTTTCTAAATGCTAACTTGTCGCATTTGTAAAAAAGGGGGACAGGAGCCAGATGTGTCACTGAACACAGGGTTTGTGTTTCCGTGTGTATTTGTTGCTTTTTTAACTGTTGTTTTTATCCTTTTGATTTTTGAACTATGTGAATATATAGCCAAGTGGAAAAAATTTAATAAAATAAAGGAAAAGAGAAATCACAGGTGATACACATAGGTGTGATTTTTATATATAAACATTTTGCAAGTCTAATTAGGGGACCTAGAGACCCAAAGAAAAGACCTCAGCCCTAAATCAAAATTTTGGCATATAAATTTCACTCCCTTTTTTTTTTTTAATCTTTTTTTGTGAGGTAAATTAGCTCTGAGCTAACATCTGTCGCCAATCCTCCTCTTTTTTTTTTTTTTTTTTGCTGAGGAAGACTGGCCCTGGGCTAACATCCGTGCCCATCTTCCTCTACTTTATATAGGACGCTGCCACAGCATGACTTGACGAGTGGTGCGTTGGTCTGCGCCTGGGATCCGAACCTGTGAACCCCGGGCCGCCAAAGCGGAGCATGTGAACTTAACTGTTACGGCACCAGGCCGGCCCAGGATCTTTTTTTTTTATTCCCAACTTTTAGCTGACATTTTTTATTAACTACTAATACTAAGTGCACTGACTAAGAGCCTCTAGGTTTCGGGACAGTTACCTTCTCATTCCACCAACCCCTGGACTCTTCCTGGGCCTGACGCTGGAGGAAGGTTAGGAGGCCTGCAAACCAGTCAGATCTCGAGTTTCCAAGGCAAGGAATTTGGTTTCCCACAGCTGAGCATGCCAAGCCTTCCCTCTGGCCTTTGTGAGTGTCCCAGAGGGCCCAAAAGGGGCTCTGCCTCCGGATCTCAGCTGGGCCCAACAAGGGTCCCCTCTGGGAGCTTCAATGGCCACAGTAAGGGTGGGGACAAGGCAGTTGGGTCTCGGACACCTTGTGGTAAGGCTGCCCTGCTTGCCCCCTGGGAGGGCATGAGGCCTCTGGCTAGCAGCAGACTCTGGACTCCTTATCTGCCAGCATTCTGCCAGCCACCAGCCTCAAGGACAGAGAAGTCCCACTGTAGACATCTACTGACTCCTTGCTGGGGCCCCAGCAGCATGACCCTTCCTCACTCACTCCCTACCATCTCATGTCTCCAGGAAGTCTGGAAAGAGAGAGAAGTGGAGCCAAGGACAACTGGCTCCTTCCTCTTCACATTTTCAAGGAAAAGACTAGGATTATCAGCAATTTCATCATCACACTTAGGAATACAAATCAAACCTTTCTTTGGTCTTCTACATCAAGCCTCTTGGTGACTAGCAAGCATTGTGACTTGGGAACACCAATTAACCTCCTGAGATTCAGTTTCTCTTGTTGTGAAACAAAGCGGTTAGACTCAAAGATTCCCAAAGTCTCTCCAGTTTAACATGCTATTGTCTGTGGTTCTGCGAAGTGCCTAAGCAGTGCTGTCTTCAGGCATCGAGTGCAAACAGGCTGAATTATTCTGGCAGAGTGGTGAGAAGCACGTCATGTTTTCCAGATATATACAATCTATTCACAGCACTACCACTCAGATGCCAAGATCCAGTAAATATCAGACATGGATTGAGGTTCCTCCTGGAATAGAGTGGGGTGTGAGCAGGTAAAGAGCAAGGTGGGAAGGGTTTGAAAACAGACCCAATACAATGACTGATAAATACTGCATGCACGCGCGCGCGCGCACACACACACACACAGGCAAACACGTGCATTGTTAGTCCTTCCTGCCTATTATCAGCCCAGAAAAGGAGTGTTTCCATTACCTGAAGAAATCAGAGTAGCTTCCAAAACTAAAGTGGAAAAATTCACTTTGCCCAGTGAATCTATGGGACAAAACCCGGCAGGCTACAAAAAGAGGCCTACCAAGAAGGCAGGGAAACCACATCCCTGTTCCTAAAAAGGAGATGAATCAACCCTAAGTCTGGGCTCATACTGTTCCTACAACCCAACCTGCCTACCCGCTGCTGGGACCCCTAACAATAACCACCCTCCCACTCAATATGATAACCATGTTCTAGGCAGTCACTACATGCTGCACAGCAGTGAGAACAGGCCCACAGAGGTTAAGAAACTTCTCCCTGCTGGAGAGCGTTGGGGCCAGGATCTGAACACAGATTCACATGGCTCAAAAACCTGGACTTCTGCCAGCTCACACCATCTCTAGTGCAGTGCTGTCTTCTCACTTAATCGAGCACAACAGTGCGACCTCTCCTGCATTGCCACCTTATTCTTCACGTACGGATATGCTTTCTCCCCGACAAGAGTCTGCCGAAGCCAGCCCTCAACCCCTCTTTGCACTCTCCGGTGGCCTGTGCAGAGCCAAGCACAGACCAGGCACTGTGTATTTACATACTGAAGGGACGAACGATTACTGAGAGCCATGCAGCTCTGATACCTCAAGGAGCCCACAACTCTTACTCTTCTTCTTGCCTAAGTGACAAGGCCAATCATTCTCTGGTGCTCCCTAGTCATGCCCTTGCAAACCAAGGGCAAGAAGAGTACCACTAGTCTATCTCCTGGCTACCACACAATTTATGAAAAACTCACCTCTGAGCTTCCAACAAGAAATGGAATATGCGATTTCTAATTCTAGCTGCTAAAAGCTATGATTCTGGACATTCTTTCTCTTGCTTCATCAAGTTCCTCTCAGTTTTTATGGCTTTGTTTTAAGAGGTAAAGATTAATCGCAGATGCTGTGGATAAGAGACCACAGATCCACTCAGACCTTAGCCCTAACCCCTTCCCAAGGTCCTAGGGCAACACAGGAGCAGAGCTGGGACAGAAGCCAGAGTGGCCAGTCAAGTCCCCACTACATGCGACCACCACCACTTCCCAACAACCTACCCACGTGGCCTGAGGTTCCTAGGGAAGAGTGACTCAAGACAAACACAAGCCCTGGGTGGTTCCAGGAGGAAGGGTCAGGTCAAAGCTGCTCCTGCCCGCACCCTTCCTTAAGCCCCAGAGAGCACTCAGCCCCTCACCAGATCATGTTCACAGTCCTCTTGGACACCCAGGCCCTGGCAGACACTAGATCCTCAAAATTGAAGCCAGGGGCCAGCCTGGCGGCCTAATAACAGTTAAGTTTGCGCCCTCAGCTTTGGCGGCCTAGGGTTCACGGAGGGACGGACCTAGGCACCGCTCATCAAGCCATGCTAGGGCAGCGTCCCACATATAAAATAGAGGAAGACTGGCACAGATGTTAGCTCAGAGCCAACCTTCCTCACCAAAAAAACCCAAAAACAACAAAAACAAAAAAACTGAAGCCACAACCCACAGCTGAGGAAATTTTCTTGGCTTAATTGGACCTCGGGATCTCATGGTGAAACTGCTTGGATAGCTATTTTGTCCCACTGCTCTAACCCACCAAGAGAGGGCAGCCTGAACCGGACCACCTAACTTGGCCAGTACAGGCCAAAAATAGCCCAAAAGACATGCCCACGGGGTAAGCCAGGCTGGAGTTTGGCTTAGTCCCTCCTTTGCCGTTCTCCAGCTCCTGCTAGCGGGTCAGTCGGAAGATCTCGGGCATTTATCTTCAGCTGGGAGGTGGTCTGGCCCGGGATGGAGTGGAGTGAGGAACACAGTTCCTGGAAAGCAAAGTCCGGACACCAGTGCCCCATCCGAGCCACCCCAAGAGCTGCCCGCCAGATCTGCCCATCTACTCTCTGCTTCTTTCATCCTTGTGTCCATGAAGCCTCTCTCAGCCTTTCAGTGCGGCTATCCACTTTCTGGACACCCTTCTCCTGCTCCCACATCCCGCGCTCTCCAGCCGAAGGGACGGCAGCTGCGACCTCCCTTCCCTCGCCATCAAGTAACCCCCATCGCGTCACTGAGGCCAAGTGTCGCCTCCATCCAGGGTCCGGGCCCTGTGCGGGTTCTCGGGAGCACCTCCCTGGTCTAGCCCGAGGCTTCGGAAGCAGGGGCTGGGCTCCTGGTCATCGGCGCAGCCGTGCCCCCACCCCCACCCGGTGACCCGGAGCCCTGGAGGCGCCCTGCTTCTCCGCGCGATGCCCCATCCCGGGGGGCCGCGCGCCCTCCGCCCCTCACCTGAAGCTCGGGCGGACGCCACCTGGGTCCGCGCAACCTCACAAGCCAGGCCCTCCGGCGGCGGCTGCAGGTCGGGAGGTGCGTCCGCGCGGGAGCTCGCGTGCCCTCACCCCACTGCCTGCGTCCGTCCCCCGCACGG